CCCCCCCCCGCGGTCCCCCAGCGTCGCCTGCGCGCTGGCAGCCAGGCAGGGAGCACCGTGCCCGCCCATGTCCTGCAGTGCTTGGGTGGGAGCCAGCTCCGCCACGCTCCCCCTCCTCCTTCTTCTCCTCCTCCTCCTCCTCCCGCACACGGGGCTCAGGGCTCGTTACCCTCCCGGCTCACCTGCCGGTCCCCCCTCCCGGGAACGGTATCCCCTGGGATGGATGCCGGACCCTAATGGGTGCCCCCGCCCTCCCTGTACCCCCCTCTGGTTTGGGGGTACAGGAGCCCGGACGGCTGAGTTCAATCCCAGCTCAATCCGTGACTCCCCCTCAGTTTGCCTCCGGTACCCCCTGCCCAGCCCAAGCCCTAAATGACAGTCACTGCACATGGAGGGGGTGTCCGTGCCCCTCTGACAGCCACCCCCCAGCACCCAGCCAAGGACCCCAAGCACACATTCAGAGACCTTCCCCCCAGTTGTGTCCCCCCCTTCCCAGCAGAGTCTCCCTCTCCAAGAGGGTGACTGGTTGATGCACCATGTTGTGGGCACAGTGTTACCCAAGGGAACCCCTCGCTGCAGGACACCCCAACATGGCCCAGGGCACCCCTACCCTGGCACAGGGCATGTGCAGGGCAGGGAGATAGGGTGCACCCCACAATGCAGCTGCACCAGGGACCTCACAGCCCCCCACACGCATTAGGGCTGTGCCAAGGGGAGGCCAGGCAGCACCCCCTGGATTACACCACGATGCCACAGTGACGCCAGGGCAAGGACCCATCCCCATGGGGCTGCTGCCTGTGCCAAGCGTGGGCAGCAGCTGTGCCAGGCCTGGGCACTAATTGCATTTGCCCCAGGAAGGCTCCTAACGAGCAGCGCCAGGGAGGAGCAGGGGGGGAAGTGGGGGGCAGGGGTTTCAGGGGCATCCCACACTCTTCACAGCTGCCCCCCACAGCCCTGCCAGGCTGGTAGAGATTTGGTGGGGGGTGGGGGGACAGGGTATAGTCCCCCTACCCCTAGCAACACCAGGAAGGTGACATCACTGCTGGCTCCATTGTCCCCCACCCCCATTTAATTAGCAGATGGCCCCCGGACCCCCCCGCCAGGCAGCGCCAGGCCTGTGCGGGGCCATTAGCTTTATTGGCTGCACTGAACGAGGGCCAGGCCTCGTTAATTGAATTGCACCCACGCCAAGGACGGGCGGGCGGGCGTCTTCTCACACCCCTCAGCCCCTGGCACCTCCTCCCTGGCCCTTGGCTGGATCAGGGAGAGGGGATCCCACTGCCAGAGGACCAGGGGGTGCATGGGTGCCTGACATGGGGCAGACGGGGGTGCAACCCACACGTGTGTGTGCACACACACACAGGTGCTCTCTCAGCCCCACACCCGTGCCAGCCACATGGGTGTGCAGCTTGCAGCTATGTGCAGCTTGCACACGCGTGTAATTGCACACGTGCATGCACACGCGTGCACACACACATGCATCCCCCCAGCACAGTGGGGTGATGCTCTATCACCCCCACAACACCCAATCCATCACCCCCACCACCCCCCAATGTGGGGTGCAATGCTCCATGCCCGCAAAGCCACCCATTGGGTGGTGGCATGGGGCAAGGGGGCAGTGCTCGTCCTGAGCACTGTCAGCAGCTCCCCCATGCCCCCCAGCTGCTCAGGGGGGACCCCACAGCTCAACACCCCCCGGCTCTGGGAGTCAGGAGGGTGTGGGGAGGCGCAGGCTCCCGCTCGGCATCACTTCCTACTTTCGCTTTGGTGCGGAGCCGAGGCCTGTCCTGGGGGAGGCGGGTGCCCCCCAGGTCCCCCGGGTGGCACAGGTAGGGGCAGCGGGTGCTGCCAGCTGGGGGCAGGACGTGGGGGCAGCCGGGCGTCCCTGGGGGCATCCACCAAGCCGGGTGGTGGTGGGGAGAGGGATGGCGGTGGGTCCCTGTGCCTGGCACTGGGGGAGTGAGCTGGCATCACCCCCGTTCCCCCCACAAGGCACTTAATCCCCACCCCAGAAGGAGTCCACAGGACAGGGCTGGCACAGCAAAGGGGGACAGGCATGGTGGCTGGGGGGGCTGGTAGCCCCCCCAGGCACAGATAGCAAGGGGGGAGCCTTGCCCAGGGTGCCCTGGGAAGAGTTTGCACCCCAGCTCTGGGTGTAGCCTCCATGTGGGGGGCAGGTGCCCCGGGGGAGCTGTGGGCTTGGCTGGGGGTGGGCTGCAGCTCCTGGGGG